GACTCAGATGCCTGGGCTGCCCCAGTTCCAAGCTTGCTTCCTCTGACTCAGCTTTACCCTCATGACACAGCTTCATTCTGAGTCATCAGGCCAAGCTTTCGAGGACAGCAGCTGGCACTCTGGCTTCATCTTCCCAGGAAAGGTGCTCTGTCACCACACCTCAGAGCCACCTCATACCTAACTTGGCTCACAACACCCAGAAAGCAAGGAACAGAGTCTTAATGAGATCAGAGAATGCAGAGGGAAGGAGCCAGGACCGGGAGTTGGAATGCCTGGGTTTCAGCTCTAGCTCTAGTTGACTTGTGTGATCTTGGGCTAGTCATTGGAACCTCCTTAATTGGGGTTTCCTCTCCCAGAAAATGGGAATAGTCATCTCTGCTTGGCCCATCCCACCGGGGTGTTGGGAGGCCCAAGTTAATAGTATAAAGTACCCCGATTTCCAGGGCACAAACCCCTGCTCCATGAACTGGATCTGTTCATAAGCTCATTTGGCTTGGCCCTGATCAGTTTGGCTCAATGGATAGAGTGACGGCCTGCAGAACAAAAGGTCCCAGGTTCAATTCTGGTCAAGGGCATGTACCTTGGTTGCAGGCTCCTCCCCGACCAGGGCCCTGGACAGGGCTCATGCAGGAGGCAACCAATCGATGTGTTTCTCTCACTCACATCCATGTTTCTCTCTGCCTTTCCTTCTCTCTTCCTCTCTCCCTAAAAATCAGTGTAAAAAATCCTCAAGTGAGGATTAACAAAAAAAGAATTAGTATTCCGTTTGTACAGCATGCATGTTGATGTAAAGGGCAATGTTGATTGCAATTCCTGGCACATTTTATTTTAGGGAAACACGCAGAATTCTTGGATTACAAGAGGTGAAGATTCTGGAGTTCAAGAAGCTGTCAAGAAATTTTCCCACGGTGATGCAGACATTATGAAGACCTCATCTGCTGGTGAGGCTGAGAAATGGAAGCTAGAGCTGGTGAGTATTCAGGTGCTTTTCTGTTTATGCATCTACTTTTTTTGTAGCTTTTTATTAGGGTAAATATACAAAACAGAAAATTTAGCATTTTAATACTTTTAAAATTTACCATTTTAACTGTACAACTCATTTTCATGAAGTACATTCACAGTGTTGTGCAACCATTGACACTATTTTTAGAACTTTTCATCATCTCTCACTCCCCTAAAGCTAATCAGTATAGTGGGGCCTTGACTTACGAGTTTATTTCGTTCCATGACAGAGCTCGTAAGTCAGATTACTCGTATGTCAAATCAAGAAGTGAACGAGTGAGACACGTGATGCTGGGCTGATGTTGTGGCGTTCACTGTGACGTTCGCTGCGCCAACTAGCGGTGGGGTATCTGAAGCTGGCTCGTAACCCGAATTTTAGCTCACAACTCAAAGCAAAAAATCGGCCCAGAGAGATGGCTCGTATCTCGAAAAACTCGTTAGTCGGGACACTCGTAAGTCAAGGCCCCACTGTATCTTGATTTTAATGAGAATTGCCTAAGCACAATCCTTAACCATTCCAGTTGATTTTTGCCTGTTTTTTTAAACATTATGTAAATGGGGTCAAACAGTATATAATTTTTTGTGTCTGGCTTATTTCATTCAACATTATGTTTGTTAGGGTCATGCAAGTTGAATGTGTGGAAGTTTGTTCATTTGCATTGGGGGCCTATTGTATGAATATACTACAGTGCATTCACCCATTCAACTATTGATGGATATTTGTATTGTTTCCAGTTTGGGGCTATTGTGAAAATTGCTGCTGTGAATATATGTCTATGGTATGCATTGCACGCATTTATGTTGGGAATGTACCTTGAGTGGAACTGTTGGTCTTAGGACATATATGTATGTATGTATGTATGTGTATGTATATGTATGTTCAAGTTGAGATTAGGGCAAACTTTTCCAAGGCGTTTTTTTTTTTTATCAGTTTAGACTTCTACCAGCAGCCTATGAGTGATACCACTGCTCAGGTTCGTGCCAACACATTCTATTGTTCTGTTTTTCAGTGGGCTTGTAGTGCTATTCTGTCATTATTTTATTTGCATTTCTCTCATTACTCACATGATTGAATATCTTTGATATGTTTATTAGTCATTTGACCACCTCTTTTGTGAGGTGCCTGTTCAAATATTCTGCTCCTTATTTTGAGTCACCTGACATTGTGTTTTGAACTTCTTTATATATTCTGGATACATTCTGGTTATATCTGTTATATTTTCCCATTCTGTGGCTTGCCTTCTAACTCCCTTGATAGTTTTCTTCCTTTTTCCCTCCCTCCCCTCCCCCACCCTCCCTTGCCTTTCCCTTCCCCTCCCTCCCCTTCCTCCCCTTCCTTCCCCACTGTTTTGCTTCCCTCTTTTCCTAGGTTCTCATTGCTGGTGTAAAGCACACACTTTTATTTTTGTATTTTGACTGACCCCACTTTATTTTGATGAGTGTTAGCATAGTGTATTTTTGCTGTTCTTTCACTTTTAACATATTTGTGTCTTTATATTTAATACTAGAGGCCTGTTGCACGAAAAGATTCGTGCAATAGGCCTTCCCTTCCCCTGACTGCGGGCACCGGTTTTCCTCCGGCACCCGGCACCCAGGCCTTTGCTCCGGCCGGAGCCGCCTTCAGTTTTCACTCTGCATGCCTATGTATGCAAATTAACTGCCATCTTTGTTGGCGGTTAATTTGCATATCTTGCTGATTAGCCCATGGGAGGCATAGCGAAGGTACAGTCAATTACCATGTTTATCTATTATTAGATACGATTTCTTGTGGCGAACCTAGAGCGGAATTTTGGTTTGTTTTTTTTTTAAATACAATCTAACTATATTTGCCTTTTAAATGTGATTATTTATACACCTGGGTTTAAATTCACTATCTTGCTATTTGGCTTCTTTTACATATTTTAAATCTTTATTGTTGAGAGTATTACAGATGTCCCCCCTTTTTTCCCTTGCCCCCACCACCCAGTTCCTATCCTGCTCTAGTCCTTCACTGCCCTGTTGTCTGTGTTCATGGGCAATGTTCATATGTGCATGTAAGATCTTTGGTTATCTCTTCCTGCCCCTCTCCCTCCTTCCCTCTGAGATTCGTCAGTCTGTTCAATGTTTCCATGCCTCTGGTTCTATTTTATTCATCAGTCTAAACCCAGGATTATTGTTTTAAACATATTTTTATTGATTTTTCTTAGAGAGGAAGGGAGAGGGAGAGAGAGATAGAAACATTGATGAGAGAGAACATTGATTGGTTGCTTCCTGCATGCCCCCTATGAGGGATGGAGCCCAACAACCTGGGCATGTGCCCTGACTGGGAATCAAACCAGCGACCTGTTGGTGTATGGGACAGTACTCAATCACTAAGCCATACCGGCTGGGCTAAACCTAGGATTATATTTAATGACCTTTTCTCTCCATATCTATTCAGTGATAAAATTCTGTCAAGTTTTCTTTTATACAGCTCTATACTAAATTCTTTCTTTTTGTTTTTTGGGGGTTTTTTTTGTTTTGTTAATCCTCACCAGAGGATATTTTTTCAATGATTTTTAGGGAGAGTGTAAGAGAGAGGGAAAGACCTGAAACCATTGATGTGAGAAAAACACATGGTTACCTCCTGCACAAGCCCTGACCAGGGCCCGGGCTGGGGAGGAGCCTGCAACCGAGTACGTACCCTTGACCAGAATTGAACCTGGGACCCTTTGGTCTGCAGGCCAATGCTCTATCTACTGAGCCACACTGGCTAAGGCAAATTCTTTCTTTTTTATCTTTACTGCTTGATTTTGCTTGTTCACATGTTTATCTCTTACCTATGTATTTGCCACGACTTTTTTATTGGTCTCCCTTTTTCCACACTTGAGTGATTTAAGATTCAAATCTGATCGAGAGTTTCGTGTCCATCCAATGCCTCTACTACGTGGAGACCGCGTGAGCTGTCTGGATAAAGGTCTTACAGTTTTTATATTTTCCATGGCCTACCTACCTGTTTAGCCGTCTCTATCCACTCTCCCACCTAGTGTTTTACATCTCCAGCCCCTGTGCCTTTTGCTTTATAGGAAATGAGGCTTCTATATCGTGGAGTTTCCTCTGTTTCTCCTTGGTTCAATCACAAATTCCTGTAATTTTACCTTCTGTAGGCCTTGCTAGCATAAATTATATATAATTGAATGTTCCTCTGCCTTTCTGTTCCTTCCTAGACTCTAAGTTCCTTGAAATTAGCGGGGTCTTCATCGTAGATACCCAATATGTATTTGTTGAATGAAAGAATAACAAGCAGGGGCTTGTAGAGTTTGATCGATCGTCATGTGATTCACAACTTCCCTTCGTCATTCATCCAGTTGTATGTCGTGCACACATACCTAGTCCATTCATGTTTATTGTATGTGAAACACATAGCAATCCCATAGGGGGTTCCAGTAGGATTGGATCTTTGTCCTCATTGACATTGTTGGTTATAATTGGTTTTTCCCAGCATCACACTTTTTAAAAAATATTTTTTTTTATTGATTTCAGAGAGAAAGGGAGAGGGAGAGGGAGATAGAAACAGTGATGAGAGAGAGTCATTGATTGGCTGTCTCCTGCACGCCCCACAGTGGGGAGCAAGCCCACAACTGGGCATGTGCCCTAACCGGGAATCGAACAGTGACCTCCTGGTCAATGCTTAACCGGGCCCAGCATCACACTTTTTAAAGAAAGACCTGATTTATGCAACTTTGAAAAAAAAACCTATTTTGTCAGTAATTACCATTTTATGACTCAGTAGTTCTGTGCAGATGTCCATCTGATAAATACAGGAATTTTTGGTGGGAGGGGGAGAGTGTTTCCAGAGAGGTCACATTATTTTTCCTCCTGCGGAAAAATATTGAGCTTAATATTAATAATCAAAATTTGCTTACAAAACACAGGATACAGAAGAAATGTACTTTTTTTTTTCTTTTCTTTTCTAAAGGAGAGGCTGAAACTTACTTATGAGCAAAAGTGTGAAATCCTGGAATCTCAATTGAGGGTTTTGAGGTAAAGTATCATCATCCATAGAAAGACCTAGCAAAAGCATACAGAGCTTATGATATATTGGAGTGTTTGCTGAAATCCCAGTTTAGTCACTGTTCGAAGTGCTTGGTGCCATTTGCTTGCGATACAAGACATTTTCTCACATTATTAAAGGGTAACGAGGAATAAAATGGTGAAGTCCTTTTTTCAAATGTTATTTCAAATCACCCGGAACTAAATTATAAGTTTTGTTCTTTCATCAGTTGTAAGATATTTGTGTTTTCTGCTGGAAATAAGAATCACTAGCTGCACTTACAGAAATTAAGCTTTCAAAATAGTAAAACTAAAGCCACTCCAGTTGTCAAATTACATGTAAGAGATTTTTCCGTTTCATAGATAGACCTAGCAAAAGCATAAAGAGCTTGAAATATATTGGCGTGTTTGCTGAAATCCCAGTTTAGTCACTATTAGAAGTGCTTGGTGCCATTTTGCTTGCGATACAAGACATTTTCTCACATTATTAAAGGGTAACGGGGAATAAAATGGTGAAGTCCTTTTTTCAAATGTTATTTCAAATCACCCGGAACTAAATTATAAGTTTTGTTCTTTCATCAGTTGTAAGATATTTGTGTTTTCTGCTGGAAATAAGAATCACTAGCTGCACTTACAGAAATTAAGCTTTCAAAATAGTAAAACTAAAGCCACTCCAGTTGTCAAATTACATGTAAGAGATTTTTCCGTTATCTACTTTTCTTCATTGAATTTTAAAATTGCAACAATACTGTAATAGTTTGAGTATTTTTGTATACATGGTGAATTTGTGTATACATAATGAGTTTTCATGTACTAGTACTTTTTGATATGTTTTCAAAAAATCCCAATAAAGCGTATATATTATAGATTAATCATTATTGATTTGTTAGATATTCATTATCTAAGAATTTAAGTGCATCATTCTCTGTTTTGAGCTAGAAAGTTGTTTCTTATACAAAAGGATACCAGGACTTCTTTTTTGTGTGTTAAATATTATTTTAAACGATAGTAATGAAATATTTTCAAATCAAAGAAACTTTAAAATACTTTAATAATTTTATTTTATTTACTGAAATACTGTTAATGATGAACTTATTTTAATAGTCCAATTTGAAATAAAATCTAACGTCTCCAGTCCACCTATTGTCCAGATACATAACTAGAGTTATACTAAGAACTAGAACACACAGCTTTCCCTGCACTGTTATTGTTCACTTATCTTTTTTTAAAAAATTTTTTTATTGATTTCAGAAAGGAAGGGAGAGGGAGAGACAGATAGAAACATCAATGATGAGAATCATTAATCGGCTGCTTCCTGCACGCCCCACACTGGAGACAGAGCTTGCTACCCGGGCATGTGACCCGACTGGGAATCAAACTGTGATCTCCTGGTTCCTGGGTCGATGCTTAACCACTGAGCCACATTGGCCGGACTTGTTCACTTATGGTAACATGCCCCTGTGCTTGCAATTCCTTAACCTTATTCATTATTTCTGCAGAGATTTTTACTTTTTCATGAAGAAATTTAATGTTTAAGAAATGGTCATATTTTTGTTTTCTTGCTTTTCATCTTTGTTATCTTTGGATATATATTGTGTTTTGATTCTTTAGTTTTTAAAGTTTCATTTCTAACTCATTATATTTATGGTAACGTGATTTATTTGGTCTCATCCAGAATTCAAATATGGCATCTTTAATTACATTAAAACACCACCTTACACTGAAGTAGACTTTGCTCCCTGCATCCTTCTGCATTCCTTTTTAAATTTATTTTCTTTGAATAATATTTAAGATATTAACAGAGACATTTTCTTAAAAAGAAAGAAAGAAAATCGCTCCTCTCAGAAACTCTGGCTTTGTGGGACTGTTTATTTTTCCATTTATTCCTGGCCGTTCTGCGTAACCAGAGCCCCTTAAGTGTTTGAACTTGCACCTGTCACAGTCGGTCAGGGAGGCCCTTGAACTTCCAGATGTGCTTCCAGACCCTTTCCTAAAGCCTCCGAGAGTCAGGCTTCCCTTCGTAACAGGGAGCTTATGTCGGAGATGTTATCTTGGGATTGGGCAAGACCAGCGCCATTTATTTTTTATTTCAGACCTCATGAGATTAGCTTTTCCAATCTCAGATTGCCTATGGCTCCTCCCTTTCCCCCCTACCCCCCAACACACACACCAGGCTGCCCGAAAGCCCCAGGTCCCGAGAGATGAGGCAGTGCGACGGCCAGGTGTCTTAATTATCAGCTTCTCCTCTGTGACAGTGAGCAAGTGGGACAGCTATAGGTCCCTTAGGTTGTAGGCTCAGCCCCCAGTGTGGGGCGTGCAGGAGGCAGCCGATCAATGATTCTCTCTCATCATTGATCTCTCTCTCTCTCTTTCTCTCCCTTCTCTGAAATCAATAAAAATACATTTTTTTTTAAAAAAAGAAAGTAGACAAAGAGATAAAGAGCCGCTGTTTAGTCCCCCAAGAACTTAAGGGCAATTTTCTCCTTCTTGAGCTAGAAAGTGCTTTTTACACAACAGGGAAGAGACATTTATGCCAGGAAGCTCAGTTGCCCAAGGTGACTTTGCAAAACTAGGAGAAAAACATCATCCAAGGATAATCCCATCAGGTCAAAACAAACAGCCCCTGATTTCTCAGCCCCCCCACCCCTTTATTTATCGAGCTGCCTATTTCCAGCCAATGCATGCTACTTATGAAGTCTTAAGCCTGGCAGGTTCTACATAACTTCCTCCCGTAGCCCACTGTCTCTCACAACTGCTCATTGTAGAACTTTGTGGTTAGAAAACTTTTCAATGTGCAGAAACATGGGCAGTGATAGGACCCGTGTCCTTTCTGTGACCCTGTAAGGAACTCTCCACCAAGTTTAAGAGGTTAACATTTGAAATGGGGTATTTCCCTCAATTCAAGGATGTTGTGTTAAGTCACCCCATCCCCCCTATTAGATGACACTAGTTAGAATTTGCATTTGTAGTTTTACATTTGTTCTGTGGGTCATATAATGTAATAGAGTCAGATCCTGAGAAAGGAAAGCAAGTATCACCCGCAGACTAATTTTACAAGAGAATTTGGGCTAATTATTTAATATATTCAAGTCTCCTTTTATTCAGAGTACCAATTAGGATAATCATACCTTGAATCAAGGGTTGTGGTTAGAATTCATATGCAAAGCACCTCAAAGGTTCACACCCATAAATAACAGTAATAGTTATGACTCTGCTGATGCCTTGGCAAGTACTGTAGCCATTTACTGAATTCTTCTCCCCTTCTCTTTAGGAAAGACTTAGCCGAATGTCAGAAAAATTGTGAAGATCTTAAAGGGCGACTAAAGCACAAAGAGTCTGTTCTTGCTGCCCAGGTTTCTAGCCGCGTCGGTGGCCTTTGTGTGAAGTGCGCTCAGCATGAAGCTGTTCTTTCTCAGACACACAGTCATGTCCACATGCAGACCATCGAGCGGCTGACGAAGTAAGTGTGCCTCCCCCTGCGGAGTCTTCGGTAACAAGAGCGTTGTCTTTCCAGGGGCATCAATTCCACTATCCCGTGCTAAATCCCTAACCTGTGGTTCATGCGAAGCTTCAGGTCAAATGGATTTTAAAAGGGTCCTTCAGCCTGGGCTGGTGTGGCTCAGTGGTTGGCTGTACCATTCACTGAGAGGTTGCTGGTTCGATTCCCAGTCAGGGCACATGCCTGGGTTGAGGGCTCAATCTCCAGCAGGATATGTGTGTGTGTGTGTGTGTGTGTGTGTGTGTGTGTGTGTGCACAAGAGGCAGCTGATGGATGTTGATGTTTCTCATTGATGTTTCTCTTTTCCTCTTCCTCTCCCTTCCTAGCTCTCTCAAAAATCAATAGAAACATATTTAAAATAAAAAATAAGAAGGAAAGATTCCTTCATGGAGCTTTCTTGAAAACAGAACAAATGAGTTCTGCCAACTGTGGGTAACATGGACAAGTCATTTTCTCTCTCTAGGTCATTTTCAGTCTCATTGTGAAGCGAGAAAATTGAAGTAGATGGTTTTACAATTCTGTTCATGTCCATGGCTCTGTAATTGCAAATCCAGCACTACTCTGGACTAAGCTGAGTTTGAGAGGAATTCTTCAGTGCCGCCCTATGTTGGATTTGCCTGCTGTAGCTTAGGTGGAGTGAGTTATTATCCTGCTTTCATCACGTGCCCGTTGTGCAGTGTCCTGAGTGCATTGGAAGAAGGTCCCACTACGTCCCACTATTAATTAATATTCCAGGACGGACTAAGGGCAAGTTGCAGTGAGCTTTTGTGTAATCACATTTCTATCTGGGCTGAAACCCTGCAGCTCTCTGCCTGCATCTACTTTTGTTCTGTTGTCACTACTTTTCCTGTGAACATTTTATTCCTGGGAAGTTGAGCATTATTATCTATAATAATAAAAGCATAATATGCAAATTAGATTGGACAGCCGGACAAAGCCAGGGCTGCGAGGGCAGAGGCAAGTCGCCACAGCTGCGATCGCCCTTGACCGGAACCGAACCTGGGACCTTTCAGTCCGCAGGCCGATGCTCTATCCACTGAGCCAAACCGGTCTCGGCTAGGAAGTGCTTTTTACACAATAGGGAAGAGACATTTATGCCAGGAAGCTCAGTTGCCCAAGGTGACTTTGCAAAACTAGGAGAAAAACATCATCCAAGGATAATCCCATCAGGTCAAAACAAACAGCCCCTGATTTCTCAGCCCCCCCACCCCTTTATTTATCGAGCTGCCTATTTCCAGCCAATGCATGCTACTTATGAAGTCTTAAGCCTGGCAGGTTCTACATAACTTCCTCCCATAGCCCACTGTCTCTCACAACTGCTCTTTGTAGAACTTTGTGGTTAGAAAACTTTTCAATGTGCAGAAACATGGGCAGTGATAGGACCCGTGTCCTTTCTGTGACCCTGTAAGGAACTCTCCACCAAGTTTAAGAGGTTAACATTTGAAATGGGGTATTTCCCTCAATTCAAGGATGTTGTGTTAAGTCATCCCCCCCGCCCCAATAGATGACACTAGTTAGAATTTGCATTTGTAGTTTTACATTTGTTCTGTGGGTCATATAATGTAATAGAGTGGGATCCTGAGAAAGGAAAGCCAGTATCACCCGCAGACTAATTTTACAAGAGAATTTGGGCTAATTATTTAATATATTCAAGTCTCATTTTATTCAGAGTACCAATTAGGATAATCATACCTTGAATCAAGGGTTGTGGTTAGAATTCATATGCAAAGCACCTCAAAGGTTCACACCCATAAATAACAGTAATAGTTATGACTCTGCTGATGCCTTGGCAAGTACTGTAGCCATTTACTGAATTCTTCTCCCCTTCTCTTTAGGAAAGACTTAGCCGAATGTCAGAAAAATTGTGAAGATCTTAAAGGGCGACTAAAGCACAAAGAGTCTGTTCTTGCTGCCCAGGTTTCTAGCCGCGTCGGTGGCCTTTGTGTGAAGTGCGCTCAGCATGAAGCTGTTCTTTCTCAGACACACAGTCATGTCCACATGCAGACCATCGAGCGGCTGACGAAGTAAGTGTGCCTCCCCCTGCGGAGTCTTCGGTAACAAGAGCGTTGTCTTTCCAGGGGCATCAATTCCACTATCCCGTGCTAAATCCCTAACCTGTGGTTCATGCGAAGCTTCAGGTCAAATGGATTTTAAAAGGGTCCTTCAGCCTGGGCTGGTGTGGCTGAGATTTCAGGTCAAATGGGTTTTAAAAGGGTCCTTCAGCCTGGGCTGGTGTGGCTCAGTGGTTGGCTGTCCCATTCACTGAGAGGTCGCTGGTTCGATTCCCAGTCAGGGCACATGCCTGGGTTGAGGGCTCAATCTCCAGCAGGATATATGTGTGTGTGTGTGTGTGTGTGTGTGTGTGCATGCGTGTGTGCACACAAGAGGCAGCTGATGGATGTTGATGTTTCTCATTGATGTTTCTCTTTTCTTCTTCCTCTCCCTTCCTAGCTCTCTCAAAAATCAATAGAAACATATTTAAAATAAAAAATAAGAAGGAAAGATTCCTTCATGGAGCTTTCTTGAAAACAGAACAAATGAGTTCTGCCAACTGTGGGTAACATGGACAAGTCATTTTCTCTCTCTAGGTCATTTTCAGTCTCATTGTGAAGCGAGAAAATTGAAGTAGATGGTTTTACAATTCTGTTCATGTCCATGGCTCTGTAATTGCAAATCCAGCACTACTCTGGACTAAGCTGAGTTTGAGAGGTATTCTTCAGTGCCGCCCTATGTTGGATTTGCCTGCTGTAGCTTAGGTGGAGTGAGTTATTATCCTGCTTTCATCACGTGCCCGTTGTGCAGTGTCCTGAGTGTATTGGAAGAAGGTCCCACTACGTCCCACTATTAATTAATATTCCAGGACGGACTAAGGGCAAGTTGCAGTGAGCTTTTGTGTAATCACATTTCTATCTGGGCTGAAACCCTGCAGCTCTCTGCCTGCATCTACTTTTGTTCTGTTGTCACTACTTTTCCTGTGAACATTTTATTCCTGGGAAGTTGAGCATTATTATCTATAATAATAAAAGCATAATATGCTAATTAGACCAGATGTCCTTCCATATATAATTCTGACCATGGAAGTATTAGAAGAAAATTTAGAAAGTATCTTTATAGTCTTGGGCAACTTGAAGTTCTCAGTATGACATGAAGAATGAAAGTCATGAAGGGAAAAAATGGTACATTTGTCTTCATTCAAAAAAACTTTCTTTTGATACAGTATTACAAATTAAGTGAAAAGACTTGGAAAGAATATTTTCATCTAATATAACAAAATATTGGTATGATTATATAAATAATTTCCTTTGAAACTAACAAAAAGGACAAATTGCCCAGTTGCAAAGTAAATAAAGAATAGCAATTGCTGCCCTAGCTGGTTTGGCTCAGTGGATAGAGCGTCAGACTGCAGACTGAAGGGTTCCAGGTTTGATTCCAGTCAAGGGCACATGCCCGGGTTGTAGGCTCCATCCCCAGTGTGGGGTGTGCAGGAGGCAGCCGGTCAAAGTGGCTCTCTCACATCGATGTTTCTCTCTTTGTGTCTCTTCCCCTCCCTTTAGATTTTTACTCTCTAAAAATCAATGGGAAAAATATCCTCAGGTAAAGATTAACACAAAAAAATTAAAAAGAGGCGGAACCCACTAAATAGCAAAACCCACCAACCAACAACAACAACAAAAACCCATGGTTTTTTCCCTCGATTATATTGCCTTTTACATTGTCCTTGAAGATCATGAGAAAACTATTTTAAAAGGAAACAACAATGTTTACATTGATTCCAAGCCTGGCAGTCACTTAGGAATTCGATTCTCTTCTCGTTCGGTCATATAGTCCCTTGCCTCTATTCTTACATTTCAGCGCTTCGCCTCCTAAAATAAGTGCCAACCTTCTCAGTTGAGTTTTCTGCTCTGTCAGCATGTTGTGGCTCATGGTCTACTTTAATAACGGGACCCAGTGGAAGCCTCTGCTTGTGCCGTCAATGAAAATCTTTGTCTATCTGATCCCCTGGCCTCAGCTGGTGGTCGGCTTCTTTCACTTCTTCTCGAGAATTCTGAGTTTATTCTGACTTGGAAGAGTGGCCAGCTCTTGGTGGGGTGGAGTTCTCCCTTTATGCAGAACGAGAAGCATGACCCCTCCAGGAGCTGTATTTCCTGCATGACTTGAACATGACATTTGCAAAACCATATCCCACCGAGGACAGATCAGCAGTCTCCTGGCCGCTGGCTAGGGACAGCAGCTCTAAGCTGCTTGGTTGATCTTTTAAGCACGTCGTGAAGTGAGTGCATGACACAGGAATGACGTGGGCGCTTGAAAAGGAGACCAGACCCCCCATGTGTGTGTGGTGTTTTGAGGGCTTTAGGGACTTTCTGGAGAGTGTACTTAGCTGCTGATGACACTGGACTGGTTTGAAACGTTGACTTGAAGTCCTGGTATTCCTGAGTTTCTGCCTTTCATTATGCCACAAGGTAGGTCAGAGCGACAGTAATCCCTTTTTCTTGCTCTACCATCAAAATACCTCTTCCATCAAGATGGAGCTGCTGGTGTTAAATTTCTTGCTGCTGCCCCTGCGCCTGGGAGAAGTGTCGCTGCTCAGAGAGAAGAAGTGATTACTGTGGTACTGTCCGGGACTCTTGTCCAGCTCGTGACTGGGGGGCGGGTCGTCGGCAGTGCTCCGTAAACTTGGCTTTGAAAGACCATGGCAGGGCTTCCCAGAAATGAGGAACAAGAAAATGTTGAAGTCAGCCTTCCCGACTTGCTTTTTAGAAGCAGCGATAATACTTGTTAATGATGCTTTATAATGCTCCAAACTGGCAATAGCTGGGGGCTAACTTGGCTGGGCCTTAAAGGCATTTCCTAGGCCTCCGTCGTTCAGGATGAAGCTCATATATATCCATACGTATGTGTCAGACCAAGTCTCTCTTCCTTATGTCAAACATTTGGCCCACGTGATTCATGGGCTTGCTCAGTCCTGTTTGCTGAGTCCCTAAAATACCACATGCTCATTAACTGGGCCCAGAACTGACCCCCATGCTCCTTCCCGCATCCTCTTTTTTTAAAAAATTGATTTCAGAGAGGAAGGGAGATGGGGGGAGAGAGAGAGAAACGTCCATGATGAGAATCATTGATCAGCTGCCTCCTGCACATCCCACACTGGGGATCAGGCCCTCAACCCAGGCATGTGCCCTGACCGGGAATTGAACCCTGACCTCCTGGGTCATAGGTCGATGCTCAACCACTGAGCCACGCTGGCCAGGCTGAAAATTCTTTGAACCAGAGCAACTCAGTCATTTATCTTCCAGTTCTAAATAGTCTGATGACTTTTTAACCCTTTGCGGTCGTATGTCTGCTCTCATCCACCACAGCAAGGAACCGTACGAATCTTAACTCTGTTCATTCATGTATCAGTTCATAATTTCTCTGAAAGCTCTTAAGTGTCTAAGCGACCTTGTCACGGACCAAAACATTGCCCCGACAAATCGGAGATATCGAAACTCAATATAAACAAACACGGTCGTTCCACACTCGCCATGCAAAACACCCTGGCGAGTCAGTTGCCTTTTGAGAGTGAAGAAATCGACAAGCTTCGGAGATACTTCACAGAATTTCAAATAAAGCTTTACAAATTACGTTTAACTGTAATTAGGCATTCTCACTTGTTAAGATATTTCAAAATAATACTCCAAAATGGCAAAAAGAAAGTTACCGAAAGAAGTGTACTGCGAATCAGAAAGTAAC